TGGGCAGATGGAGAGGAATCCAAGATGGCTGCTCAGGTAGACACCTGGCGGCAGCTGCACACATCGACTTCAGTAAAATACAACTAAAATATAAAATGGACATTACCCAGAACTACAGGAAAGTCGACTGACTGGAAATTCTACAATGAGAAGCAAGGAGAAAACCAGAAGGAAGAACGGAGGAGCTGGAAAAGCCCAAGGTACGGAGACACGCGGCGCGCGGAGAGGACGGAGCCGGAGAGGACGGAGCCGGAGAGGAGGGCGGCTGAGTGCTTGGCTGGCGTTCCCTAGCGGGAAGGAGATAAAACTCTGACTGTGCTGGGCCACCGACTGCTCTGAACCCCAGGCCTAGGCCAGACCCCGGGGACTCAGGCTCACACAGAGGGAGCTGGGCTGTAAGGCGGAATCCCAGGGGAGCTGCGAGAGGAGGTCCTGCGGCACGCACATTGTGCTCAGAGAAGGGACGGTTGGCTGTGCCGCGGGATTGCCTGGCGGGGGGAGGGGGGGAGACAGGGGTTCCAGTCTGCTCTGAACGCCACCTCCAACTCCACTTCCAACTGAACTGAACCCCAGTTCTGGGCTCATTGGGGGAGAGACTAGACTGTTTGGCAGCAGGCGAAAATCGAGGGCATCTTTCTCTCAGAGGCGCTTGCAGCGAGTACTGAAGGACCCTGAGACTCAGGAGCCGCATAGGGCGGGGCTGACGGAAGCCAAGGCTGTAGGCTCCACCCTGAAACCCCGCCCCATCTGTAGCTGCAAAATGCGACAACGAAATAGATCACAAACGAAAGAAATGGAGGACAAAAAGCGACTGGATATAGAGTTCAAATCTACGTTTATGAGGTTTTTCAAGAATTTCCTAGAAATGATCGATAAGATCTATGAGGATATGAAAAGAGATCAACTAGAATTAATAAGGAATCAACAAGAAATGATAAGGGATCAACAAGAAATAAAGAATACATTGTCTGAAATAAAAAATATTTTACAGAGTCCTAAAAACAGAAGGGAAGATCGCAAGAATCAAGTCAAAGATTTGGAACATAAAGAGCCAAAAGACTCTCCTCTGCAGAAGCTAGAAGGCAAGAGAACCCAGAAAATTGAAGATAATGTAAGAAACCTCTGGGACAACTTCAAGCGAACCAACATCAGAATTATGGGGGTCCCAGAAGATGAGAGAGAGCAAGATATCGAAAACATACTGAAAGAAATAGTGACAGAAAACTTCCCCCACCTGGTGAAAGAATTAGACTTACAAGTCCAGGAAGCAAACAGAACTCCAAACAAAAGGAATCCAAAGAGGACCACACCAAGACAAATCATAATTAAAATTCCAAGAGCAAAAGACAAAGAGAGAATATTAAAAGCAGCAAGAGCAAAGAAGGTAGTTACCTATAAAGGAGCACCTATACGATTGTCAGCTGACTTCTCAACAGAAACCATGCAGGCCAGACAGGAATGGCAAGAAATATTCAAGATGATGAATAGTAAGAACCTACAGCCAAAGATAATCTATCCAGCAAAGCTATCACTCAGAATCGAAGGTCAGATAAAGAGCTTCACTAATAAAAAAAAAAGCTAAAGAAGTTCATCAAGCCGAAACCGGTTTGGCTCAATGGATAGAGCGTCGGCTTGGGGACTGAAAGGTCCCGGGTTTGATTCCGGTCAAGGGCATGTACCTTGATTGCGGGCATATCCCCGGTAGGGGGTGTGCAAGAGGCAGCTGATCGATGACTCTCATCGATGTTTCTAACTCTATCTCTCTCCCTTCCTCTCTGTACAAAATCAATAAAATATTAAAAAAAAAAAAAAAAAAAAAAAAGAAGTTCATCAACACCAAACCAGAATTATATGAATTACTGAAGGGGGTTCTTTCGGAAGAGAAAGTAAACAAAGATAAAAATTATGAACAACAAATACGTAACTATCAACAAGTGAATCTAAAAACCAAGGAAATTAAAAAAAAATCTGATGAACAATATTAAATGTTGAATATAATAGAATCAGAGGTATGGAAGGGGAGTGAACTGACGATTCTTGGGGAAAAGGGGAGAGGGGGACATGGGAAGAGACTGAACATAAACTGTGCACCTATGGATGAGGACAATGGGGAGTGGGGAAAGGGCGGAGGGTGGGATGGGAACCTGGTGGAGGAGAGCAATGGTGGGAGGGGGGGAAGGAACATTTGTAATAATCTGAACAATAAAAATTTATTTAAAAATAAATTTAAAAAATAAATAAATAAAAATGGGCAGATGACCTAAATAGACATTTCTTCAACGAGAATATTCAAATGGCCAATAGACATGTGAAAATCTGCTCAATATCACTAGACAACAGAGAAATGCAAACTAAAATCACATTGAGATATCACCTCACACCAATCAGAATGACTATAATCAATAAATCAATAAACAAGTTGGTGAGGATGTGGAGTAAAGGGAACCCTCATGCACTATTGATGGGAATGTAGGCTGGTGCAGCCACTATAAAAAACAGTATGGAGGGGTCTTAAAATTTAAAAATAGAACTACCTATAACCCAATAATTCCTTCTGGGTATTTATCCCAATAAATTCAAAACACTAATTTGAAAAGATTTATGTACCCCTATGTTCATTACAGTGTTATTTACAAGAGTGAAAATATGCAAGCATCCTAAGTGCCCAACAATAGAAAAAATGGATAATAAAGATGTGGTACAAATATATAATGGAATATTACTTGGTCAAACAAAGAATGAAATCTTATAACTTGCCACAACATGGATAGATGTAGAGAGTATTATACTAAGTGAAAAAAATCAGAAAATCATGAAGGAATTAAAAAGTACAAATTGTAATTAGAAAACAGTCGTAATCATAAAAAGCCTGTGGCCATCATGACTGGATGGACGACTGAACAGCAGGCTGGGTGGGGTGACCACGCAGGCCAGCAGGGGTGTTAGTGAGGGATGACCAAACGACTGAACAGCAGGCTGCTCAGGGCAACCAGGCTGGTGTGGAGGGGGCAGTTGGGGGTGACCAGGCCAGGAGGGGGATTAGTGAGGGATGACCAGGCTGCGTGGGGCAATCAGGCCAGAAAGGGAGGGGAGGGGAGTTTGGGTGATCAGGCTGGCGGAGGGATGGTAAGGGGTGATCAGGGGCAACCAGGACAATGGGGGAGGCAATTGGGGGTGACCAGGCTGGTGGGGTGGGGGGTTGAATAGTTAAGGGCAATCAGGCTAGCAGGCAGGTGAGAAGCTAGGAGCCAGCGGTCCGGGATTGTGAGAGGGATGTCCGACTGTCAGACATCCCCCGAGAGGTCCCAGATTGGAGAGGGTGCAGGCTGGGCCGAGCCTTTCCCCCCCAAGCCCCGTGCATGAATTTTGTGCACCAGGCCTCTAGTACTGTAATAACTATGTGAGAATAATCAAGGAAATTTAAATTAAGAGCAAATATCTAGGAAAAGACGGTAACCAAAAAGAATGAGCTCAGATTTTAGGGCTGCATTTTCCCAGAAGCATCCGTGAATTCTTGAATAAGCACTGTTGACCAGTCAACAGAGTAGGCAGAGAAGACCATCACAGCTTTCAGTAGAATAACATTTCCAGTGAGAGAAAAGTTAAGAGTTCATGGCCTACCTACAATGAAGACCATGTAGGCCGGGTAAAGCACTCATATTTAAGTTAGGTCTCTGGAAGTTCACACTGTATGAGTAAAGGTGAACTAGAAATAAATAGTCCTAAAATGGACTAGAGCCCCACTGGCAATTTAAACTGTGATTAAATTATTTTATTTCTTTATTTTTCAATCCCAGTTCACATTCAATATTATTTTACATTTATTTAAAATGTACTACATAGTGGATAGTTAGTTATATAATTTACAGCTGGCAAGTGCAGCAGCAGTGGGGGGAGCCTCTCCCACCTCCACTGCTCAGGCAGTAAGGAGTGAAGGGTCCTGGATTGCAAGAGCTCCGGACTGTGAGAAGGATGTCTGATTGCCGGCTTAGGGGTCATAGAATGCAAGAGGGCACAGGCTGGGCTGAAGGACCCTCCCCCCGTAACACACATAGTGCATGAATCTCATGCACTGAGCCTCTAGTATATAGAAAAGAGAATGGAGATTAGGTACAGATTTGGGAGTCATCTATATAGAAAAGACAGTTGAAACCAACAGTATATGTAGTTATTTGTGTCGTAAATTCTTTCAGTAAAAAAGTGAAATAATACCTAAATATTACAGAATAATTACATAATTACAAGAAATATTACAGAAAAAATATTACAGAGAAATAATATCTAATCTAAAGTACCTTCTATCTTCATTAATATGTGTAGATTAGTTTTTGAGAACCTGAAAGTTTCCTTATGGCAATTTGAAGAATAATCCTATTAAAATCAGTTGGCTATAAAAATCCTAAATTTATAATTAAAAAGAAGACATTCATAAAACTTGTTGGGATTACAAATGTATTCTTGAGTACAGCAGTTATTGAATCAATATTATGGAAAAATTCTCCAACCCCTTGCTTCTGCATAAGCAAGGCATTATTTGGGAAAATCAGAAACAAGAACAAAAGCATATGTAGGGCGACTATTCTACCAGTAGAGACCCAAATGGCCAAAATGTTTATAATCAATATCTATTTTAATTGGTTAAGTGGTTAATGCAGTATTAGTTGTGCAACATTTTAAATATAACTCCTGCTCCAATGATATTATATTCACCAAATTACTTACATATAACATTTAAATAGTACTAAAAATCTAAAGTACATTTTGCATATATTTATCATTATAACAATCTTTCACAACAAAAAGAAATCATTTGAGCCTCCACTTTAATAATGATTAACCTAAATACAGTTATTGCATACTTCTTTGTTACTTACTGAAATTATGCTCAAATTAAAAGCTTCTTCTATCAATAAAGTGACCCTGAATAAATTCACCTGAAAACTAAAAGCCACTTCACATACAATACAGCAGTTATTCTTATTAAAATAAAATCCTCATACCATTTGGTGATGCCATAACCATCTTTAATAATATCCTGAAGGACAGCACGATAGAAGAGTGATTCTGTAGGCAGCTGGAAAAAAAAAAAAGTAGACATATATAAACACAGAAACAAATAACAGAAATGAAATCAATACAAGAGAGTTGGGACCATAAGTGAATGTTAAAAACCTGATGTGAAACCTAAGATACAATTTTTTATAATTTTCCATCCTAAATTAAAATGTTACCAAAGAGCCGAAGCCGGTTTGGCTCAGTGGTAGAGCGTCGGTCTGCGGACTTAAGAGTCCCAGGTTCGATTCCGGTCAAGGGCATGTACATTGGTTGCGGGCACATCCCCGGTAGGGGGTGTGCAGGAGGCAGCTGGTCGATGTTTCTCTTTCATAGACGTTTCTAGCTCTCTATCCCTCTCCCTTCTTCTCTGTAAAAAATCAACAAAAATATATTTTAAAATGTTACCAAAGAAAAATGAGCTAACATTCCAAATGGAGTGCTTATCAGTTAAATATATAGAAATAAACTTTCATAATCATCTATCTGTATAAGACAGCAGTAAGACAGAATAAATGTGAAAGAGAATGTGGGTTTGTCCCAATGGGGATGGATTAGAGAGGATATTATGTAGGATCAACACCCAGAAACAGATGGTGCTACCTTAAGTAAGGACACATTAAAAATATGTCTGAGGCCTGAATGATCATAGCATTGGCTACTTGTAGGCTTAAAAAAAAAAAGAACTTTGGAATGGACATAGTATCAGAGATTGACGTCTTGGTAAGGCTTCATTTCCTGGGGAAAAAGAGGTAGGAGGTGTCCAGGAAGATGCAAAGGTTTCCCCAAAGGAAAAAAGGAATGGATGAAGGCAAGGTCCCAATGAAACATGACCGTTTCCCAGAAGCAGAAGGTAAAAAGTGTTATATAGTTGACGCTTGAGGGTTAGGGGTGATGACCTCCACACGGCCAAAAATCTGTGTATAACTTTTAAGTTTCCTGAAACTTAAGCTATCCCTCAGTAACATGAGGGGGATTGGTTTCAGGACCCCCTACAGATACCAAAATCTGTGGGTTCCCAAGTCTCCTGCATAAAATGGCATAGATCAATGCATATAGTTGGCCCTCCACATTCATAGACTCCCAACCATGGCTAGAAAACAGTACAAGAATTTATTGGGAAAAAAAGATCCACACAAAAGTGGATCCATAGAGTTCAAACCCATGTTGCTCAAGTGGCAACACAGAAAGAGTGCACAGAGAAAAAGTATTTTACAGCAGCAAAGCAATAGGTATTTTTAAACCAAGAAACTATGAAATTCATCAAACTCTATTCATATCCCCAAAGACCTGTTACTATTGAGAGTAGAGAAAAATCAAACTCAAAATAATATCAGCAACAATAACCTGCTTCAATGCAAAGTTATTACGTATTAGAAAAAAGAAAAAGAAAAAGAAGCAAAAATGGAGGGAAGTCAACAATATTAACTGCTTTTGAGAAGTCAAATAAGATAAAATCTAAAAACTATTCAATGACCTGATACAGATCATTAAAGAATTCAGTGAAATGTATGTATATATTGATCAAATTTTCCTTTTGTAACTCCTATTTTTCATCAAAGACCAACATGGTTATTTTCATCTGTTTTTGACCGGAATGTTTGGATGCAGATGGAGTGTAGCACAAAATAAACTTTGCCTGTGTGCTCAGGAAGAAAACCTACTCTGTTGTTCCTCTCCCCATCTAATGTCAGGTTCCTATACAGTGGGCCCCAGACGCTGAGACTCAAAAGACCACAAATTGAGAGTTGAAGGTCCATCATTATTTCTTGGGTCTTCCCCTGATGGTACTACCTTCTTAAGTCACTGAAGAATGTCTTGTGGGATCTTAATAGAGCAATTTGAATGAACATATGTATCTTTTCTGGATGGTGGGAATAGTGTGGAGGGTGAGTCTAGTAAGAATGGCATTAGGAATACCAGCCTCTAAACTCTTACAATAACTCTTACAATAACTCACTAAAAGCAGACATACACACACTTGAGTGTCCACACAAAAATTTATAACCTTTTAAAGGCACATTTCTTGCGTTAGCTGGTTTGGCTCAGTGGATAGAGCATTGGCCTGGGGACGGAAGGGTCTCAGATTCGATTCTGATCAAGGAGACATGCCCGGGTTGCAGCTGATCAATGGCTCTCTCTCCATCAATGGCTCTCTCTCGTCATTGATATTTCTATCTCTCTTTCTCTCCCCCTTCCTTTCTGAAATCAATAAAAACCTTAAAAAATTAAAAAATAAAAGGCACATTTCTTATATGAATTTTTCCCCCCCAAATGCAACTCCTTGAGACTTCAACTTTCCTTTTCTGAAATATTTCATATTCCAAACATTCACACTTCAAAACATTTTATTCAAAATTTCCCATCTTTGGATATATTTTTCATTTTGAATAATTTATTTCTGCAATACCCAAAACTCTCTACTTTATCACCTGTGCCTCACTTTCCCTCCCTGCAAGTATCCTTCAGTTCTCTCAGAAAAATGCTGAAATCTCCTTTCATCTATTGACACCTACTTTTATATTGTTCTATTAAAATTCAAAGCATTTTGGCCGAAACCGGTTTGGCTCAGTGTTAGAGCGTCGGTCTGTGGACTGAAAAGTCCGGGGTTCAATTCCGGTCAAGGGCATGTACCTTGGTTGCAGGCACATCCCCAGTAGGGGGTGTGCAAGAGGCAGCTGGTCAATGTTTCTCTCTCATCGACATTTCTAGCTCTCTATCTCTCTCCCTTCCTCTCTGTAAAAAATCAATAAAATATATTTTTTTAAAAATAAAATAAAATTCAAAGCATTTTGGGAAATATATTATTAGACAAAGTGAAATATTATTATTACAAGTGGCTTACAAAGTTCTTAATTTGATTAGGTGTAAGAGATGGGGACTTTAATTTTATGTAACTTTTATATAAAACTCCTAAAATAGTTAAAGCTCTCCTTTGCCATATTTTTGAAAATTATATAAAATTGTATCAGGATGACTGAGAAATAAGTGCATATTTATATTGTTATTAAAAACCAATTGTAGAAAATCTATAAGTAAGACCAAGAAATTCATTTTAACAAGAGAACATAAAGAAATAGGACACATAGAAAAATACAAACAGGATGGTATAAATCATCATTCCCGAGTTACTCTGAGTAAATAAGAACTTTACAGCTGTTTCCTAAGAGGAAGGGAAGAGAGTAATGAAGTGCCTTCAAATGTGCATTCCTGGCATAACTAGGACTATCTATCTTGGTAAATACAGAAGGGGGTCAACACTGTCAACATTTACGCAGCCGAGGCCTGACTATTCCAGGAATAAACTGGCTCAGAGTTTGCTTTCTTTCCTTCACAAGTGATAAATCAACTTTACGCTTTAATGCATGTTAAAATGGGAGGGAGCAGAGAGAGTGCACCATTAAAGTGTGTGTGTGTGTGTGTGTGTGTGTGTGCGCGCGCGTGTATGTGTATGTGTGTGTGTGTGTGTGAGAGAGAGAGAGAGAGAGAGAGAGAGAGAGAGAGAGAGAGAGAGAGAGAGACATGCATTTTACAGGTCTTGTGGAAAGGCCACTAAACTGAAAGTTGGGACTCTGCCATTAATTAAGGGAGCTGGAATACATTATTAAAATTCTGCTGGGTATCATGTTATGTAAGTTTGGTATAATACCCAACTCATAAGATTGATTATAAACATGAGCAAGTACTTGGGAAATTGAAAAACACCATACACATGCTTTGGGGCATTATGATAAAGGCACTTTCATCTTCCAGGCTCCTAGAAAACCACTGAGTTGATATGCAGTTGAGCAGTTAAGGGCGTGGCTCCAGAGTGAGAGATTCAAATCTCAGGTTCCACTACTCAACAGTTTCCTCAAATGTATCACAGGATAATAATAGTACCAATCTCATAATACTATGTACATACGGCGTTTCCCTGAAAATAAGACATCCTCCGAAAATAAGACCTACTTACAAGTTTCCTTCTGAGTGTAATATAAGGCATCCCCCTGAAATAAGGCCCCCCTAGGCTAAACATGAGAGATTTAGTCCACTGATTCTGAAAGAAATGGAGTCACAAGAAATTCACCAGGAAATTCAGGAATTGGATTGTTATAATGATGGTCCAGAAGATGATGACATGATTGTCATTGAATAAATGAGTAAATTCTTAATACTGTAGGATTCACAGTTTGTCTGGTTTGTGTTGACAACTACCGTACTACCGTACCATATACAGGTAATAAATTTCCTTTATTTTCACTTAACAATAAATGTGTACAGTATTCTTCTTCATGGAAAAATAAGACACCCCCTGAAAATAAGACCTAGCGCATCTTTGGGAGCAAAAATTAATATAAGACACTGTCTTATTATTGGGAAAACAGGGTAGTAAGCTTCAGTTGATGAAGAAAACTTTGAATAATGCTTTGTAACCTTTGTGTTAGATTTAAATATTATTTTCATAACCATAATTATTAATTATCCATAAAAGCAACAACAGTTGACATTTTTTGAGCATTTATCATGTACTATATATTGTTTTAAATTTTTCATTTTTTAATTCACTTAATTCTCACAACTCTATAAAGAAGGTATTATTTGTATTCCCATTATTACTGTTATTTTTCCTATTTTACATATAAAAAATAAGCTACAGAGAAATTATGACATGTGTCCAAGGCCACTAAACAGTAACTATTGAAGAGAAAATGCAAACTAGTAGTTGAAGATTAAAGCACAAGCCCAAACAATATGCTCTAATGTCTTAAAAAATTCCATTTTTATCAATTTTTAGATGGTGACATTTAAAAACAAAGTTTTTAGTATCGTGCCTGGTCCAGGGTAAGTAAGCACTTAGTAAATGATACTTGTTGCTACTATTTTAAACTATTTAAAAAATTTAAATTGACATATGATTCTTGAAGAGCAAAAGAAAGGTTTCTAAAATTTAAGTCCAACAAGAAAAATCTTGTGAAAAGTTTAAAAAGAACTCTTAAAAATAACTTTAAAATTTCTAGCATGTTTCATGAATCTTAAGGTGGAGGATTAGGAAGTTATATGGATATTTTGGCGATATTTAACTTCGGTTTTTGTCCATAAACTTATTTGTTATTGCAATTAATGAATAATCAAGACAATAAAGAAAAAAATTAAAAACAGCCAATTGTAAAATGTGTTTTGAATTACAATCAGAAAATAAATTTAATGCTATACCTTGGTTTTCTTGCTTAAATTGAGCCCATTAAAAGCCAGATAGTTAGTGAAAGCATTCTTTAGAAGTATTTGAAGACTGTTTAGTACATCATGAAGAACTAAGACAGTAGAAGAGAATAATGTGGACGTCTTCCTAAAAGTCAATTTACTTTTTCTAAAAGTTCAATTATATTTTAATGTAAACTTATAAAAAGAAGTATAAATTTAAATTTGAGGAGGTGACAAAAAAGAGGCAATATTTATGAAAATCCATCAGGTTTTAAGTTCATCAGCAGGTCAAGTATGAGGAGCACTTGAGAGAAAACTATCGTGTTCATCAGCGGAATCAGATAAACTCCAGATAACTTACCCCTTGGCCAACTGCAACCCGCTCCAGTGCCTTTAAAGAGAGAAAAAGAAAAAAGAAAAAAATAAGACTAAGACGGCTGATATATTTAGTCTTATCATATAAAGACTTATAAACATACTATATAAGCTTGTAAAAGTGACGTTTAAAAAGATTAATTAAGTGATAACATGTATGTTTATACACTTAAAAGTGTTAACATCATTAAGGAATGTTAACTAGTTTACTTATATAATCTAGGGCTGATTTATAATTTACGTGTATCATATACACAAACACACACCCGTACTGTATACAATCCTTGAATTTTAGAAGGCATTAGGAAACAGGAAAGAAATGAAATGACATATTCTTGGCTCACTTTTAGGGTAGCTAAAACAATCAGATAAATCCAGAGCTATTCTTATGCATATACATAGACATTTATATACTACTTTTAACCTATTTTCTTTTAATTTTTTTGTAAACATAGAATATATCTCTCATTAAAAAAATTAACAGATTATAGGTAAAAGTTTAGTTTAGAAAAGTACATATATTTTTGGTCTGCAAATTCAACCCAAATTCATACATGATCAAGTATCAAGGAGAAGAGAAAATAATGCATATTTTTATAATTTTATATGTAGCTGATTTTAAATTTGTTCTTAAGATCCAAAACATTTTTACAAAAATTTCCTAATATTTCTAAAAAAATACTCTTAACCCAATATATAAAATATACATATGAAAGATTTATTAGAATTTAAATGTGGAATAGAGCTTTCTGAAACTTTTATTTTTTAGAGATATACATTTCCACACTCACATAGTTTTATAAATAATTTAATTAAAATATTTTAACTGATATATTAATTAGAAAATACTTCAAACATAAAGAAAAGTACCAAAAACATAATGGATATGCATATACTTCCTATTCAAATTTAAAATACCCATATTTGCTTCAGATTTGTTTTGATAAATAATACTTTTTAGATATAGTTGAATCATATACTCATAAAACTGAAGGATAATTTACAAAATATCTTTTGTAAATGCATAAGTGCAACTTTTGTAGATGCATAAGTTCATTGACAAGGTATAGTAATATAGCTGGTTAGCAGTTGAGCAGGGACATAAAATTTACTCTGTGAACTCTAATTTACTTCTCATACTTCATTCATATAGATTCATTGGGAAGAAGAGTTCATTGTATGAAAATTCATTTTACAGAAATTATTTTAGAAAATATGCAATTTTCCCATTGACTTAAAGGATACCTTTACTGAATATCTAGTGCCAGAGTTTTATGAATACAGGAGATAATTATATAATTTTCTTACTAAAGAGAAATAGGCCCCAAAACAGGTTTATTATTGAAGAAAACAATGAGTTTTCATTTATAGTAATTGTACCAAATTCAGATTAGATTTTCGTTATGGCTTTTGAGAAAAAGCTGAACTGAATAAAGAAACAAAATAGTTTTTAATAATAAGTTATTTGATGTCAATAAAAAATATCACATAACACACAAAGCTACTTTAGGTATGTTTTGATGATTACATAACAAAAGATAATCACGTAAGTAATAAATTTCCAACAAACGTTAGTATTTCCCTTGGCCAATAAATAAAGATAATGAAGATAATAAAGATAGCAAGTATTCACTTCATACTAAACATATTTTGCAGTTTTGTTAGACTTAAAGTATGTTTACAAGATTCCACTAATCTAATTAAAATTTTATTTCTGGTTAGTGCCCTTAACAATGTATCTGAAGTCATCACCAGAAAGGTATGTAAAAAATAACAACATAAAAAAGCCCCTTAAGCTTTGAATATTTGTGGAACCAATCAGTTGTAGAGCAAAAGGCAATAAAACAAGATGCATTACAAGAAATGGTCCTTATGCTTTCCAAGATGACTCTAGCATCAAAAAAAAACAGTCAAGGTGGGCAGGAACTAGAATAAAGTTTAGAGGGAAGGCCTCCCATGGTCTACAAATTCTATATTTTGGAATTTACTTTTCAAAAGCTCTTCTGTTTAGTTCTTTGAATGTTTATGCTTATAGAGTACATTCCTGTTTTGTGGATACATTCTTTTATCTTTCTTTGGGACATTAATAGCTATTTTCTTTTGGATACTGTCCATTACCTCCAAATTGCCTTTTTTTTTTTCCTTTTATTTTTTCTTGAATCTTGATTCTTTCATGTTAGACTTTCTAAGATTTTTAGCTATTGATAATTCAAGCGGGGCTATCACAAACCTAATTAGAAGCACTATACTTATGAGGGAGGACTATTAATTGTGGGCCCCACCATAAAGGTGAGATCTGTTCTGTTTCATTGAGAAATCCCTGATGCCAATATCATTTGGTCTTTTCTGTTAGAACATTCAGACTTCCTATATTGAAATACTATTTTCATTTCTTACCTGATGGCATTAGGTGGAATCCTGCCTGCCAGCATTCTTGTAACCAAGTCATTCTAAGTATGAATTGTCATTCTAACAAGACTTGAACATGTATCATTTGCAGATATAAATAGAGAACAAGATAAGGTTGTTCTCTATTTATAAAAATAAATTATTATTTGAGCATACATAGATTTCTAAAATAATTCCATGATACATGATTTAGAACACTGGTACACATTTTTTATATTGCAATGTTATTAGCATAGATATAATGGTCCTAATTAGCATAGATATAATGGTACTATAATATTAATTTATCTTGGTGTTGAACATTAAACTCATTATTTAATCAACCATATTTTAAATTTCTGATGACAAAAATAATGTATTGCCCTGACCGGTTTGGGTCATTGGATAGAACGTCGTCCTGCAAGAGTCCCAGGTTCCATCTGGTCAAGGGCATGTACCTTGATTGCAGGCACATACTCAGTAGGGAGTGTGCAGGAGGCAACTGATCTATGTTTCTCTCCCATCGATGTTTCTAGCTCTCTATCCCTCTCCCTTCCTTTCTGTAAAAAATCAATAACATATATAAAAAAAAGTAATGTATTGTTGGACCTGTGTCTGTTCCTTTGTAAACCATTATAGCACCAAAACCAGAGAAGACCATGTTATAAAGTATTCTAGGTCTAAGTACATTAGACAAATCAAGCACAATAAAGGTTTTATTTAACTAATATTTATTCCATATTCCAGGTAGCTTAATATTTTTCCTATTCTATAAAAATTAGGAGACCAAATTGCCTTCTATAAATACAAACACATCACAGAACTGGGGATAGAGCACTGAAGTAACTCTGTTTAAGACTTGATTGCCCTGGCTGATGTGGCTCATTGGCTGGGTGTCGTTTGTGCACTGAAAGGTCATTTGTTCAATTCCCAGTCAAGGCACAATCCCAGGCTGCAGGCTAGATCTTCAGTAGGTGCATGCAAGAGGTAGCCAAGCAATGTTGCTCTCACAATGAAGTTTCTCTCTCTTCCTCTCACCTTCCTCTCACTCTAAAAATCAATTAAAAAATCTTAAAAAAAAAAAAAAGAGTTCGCAGTTGGTACATTTTATATAACAACAGAAGTAATTATATTTAAAAATTAAGTATAATGTGGATTATAGTATAACTATAAATTGTCACCATATTGCATGTAGAGTGATAATGTTGGAAGAGCATCAATAATGAAGCTCTGCAAAATTTGGCATTTAATGCATGGTATTAGCCAAAAATAATACATTTTGCAACATCTGGATAAAGTTCTTAGTCCAGAAAAAAAAAATACAATCATACCAAACATGCTGACATTCTGGCATTGCGACCACACGACCATCTCTCTTCCTTTAAATAGTGACACATTGGAAATCCCCACTTTTCTTGGGTACATTCTGCAGATGGGGAAAAAAATGGATTATTTCAATAAAATTCTTCCTCTTTCAGTTGAAGTAAACAATCTATTGAGAAAGCAAATCAATCACTAAGAGAGTCAAACAGTAGTTCAACATGAAAGTGGTAATGTTTAACAGTTCATTCCAGTTTCTTAATTGAAAGCATATTAATGTAATGAAAATGGTATTTTCTCAACAACAGCTGTTGGTGGTTAAGTGCCAACAATTTAAAACCAACCAAAATTACTTCTTTAAGATTTAGCAAAAGCAGTTTAAAATAGAAATATTTTTCCTGCTCAGTGTATAGTAGATGATTAATGAGATACTGGACATTTACTGCTGACCTGACTTTCTAGAAAAATGATTTATCAAATATGACATTTGGCAGTTTATTACAGAACAATATGAATTCGCTCCTAACAATGTTGAAGCATCATTTTTTTTTCAGCCACTGTTCACTTTTCAAAAAAAGAACAGCTGTAAAGACCGTTCTTTTTTCATCATATTAAGAGGCTGAAATATTTTCAACTGTGATTCAATCTGGCTCAATTGCATTCATGGTTCAAGTAGCAATAACAAAAATCAACATTCATTTGTTGCCCAACTGATGTAGAGTTACACATGCAACTTGCTGATGCTTAAACAACTTATGTAGAACTATTTGAAAGTTTTTGAAAAGGAAAACAAACCAATTTCTATTTTAAATTAAAGCCTGAAAAATAAAAGCTTAAATTTTAACAAAACTGTGACAAAAGAAAATTGTGATAAGTGAAATTATTCTACTAGATTAAAAAGTAAAACTGAACTAAAATATTGAAAATAAGAAAACTCTAAAAGAGAATATGGAGGTAAATTCCATTAAATAAACTTTTGTGCTATGAAGAATCAGATGTCTTTAGATTAAAATAGAGAAAGTTTAAATTTCATAGAGATCATAGCCTGTGAAAATGTTTTCTTTCAGGTAATAACTTAAGACTTATAATAGACCATACTAATAATCAGATGGAAGATATGAACCTCCCAGGAATAGTAATAATAATAATACTATTTACATAGCATTTAATATTATTAGCACTATTACAAGTGCTTTAAATGTATTAACTGGTCCCCATAGCAATTCCATGAAGTAGATATACTCTTATTCTCATGTTTCAGATACGGAGACTGAGCACAGAAAGGTTAAGTGAATTGCTTGCCTAAACTGCTAAGCTAGCACATGGCACAGCTTGAATTTAATTCCAGGAAGTCTGATTTCAGAGGCCATGCTCTTAACCTACAAGATATATAAACAATTTCACTCACAGTTACACAGGATTCCTTGAGCCCTTGAAACTTATCCAGGTCCTAGGGACCCTGGACCACTTCCTCTATTTCCAAGAGGACTTGAAACAGTATCTTGAGAAGGCTTTATGATTTAACTGAGACACAATTATTTCTAAATGAAAGGGCTACTAGAAGTAGTTTAATTTTTTTCTTACAAAGAGACAGAAACACCTAGGTCTTATTGTAAGGGTAAAGCATTTACAAAGATGGGTTGGGCTATTTATTCAGGGTGTTTAGGAAAAGCACTAACCAATAAAACAGCTAGTTCTTCCTCCTCTCTATCCTTCTCTCCTTGTTCCTTGTATTAAGATAGCACTCAATTTTTAGCTATTCAGATTAGAGACTGCAATTTGCAGACTTAAGTGCAGCCATTAGGATAGTGATAAGACTAAGTTTTGCAGAACTGAATGTGAGCAGAAATGATGTGTACAGATTCTAGGTCATATGTTCAAAGGGAGGGCCAAGCCACCTAGGACCATGTAAACAAGAGCAGCAGAGAATGGCACAGCAAAATAAAAGGATTCTGGGTTCTTGGAAGACTTTGTTACCGAGCGCTCATACCAGCTCCAATCACCTACTTCTTGACTGAAAGGTAAATATCTCTCTGCCACTGTTACTTTGAGTCTGAACCACTTCACATCTAAATCTTTATCTTAATGTAATGCTTTCCAAACTTTTTATAGCTCAGCACTCTTGGAATATGGCAAAATTTGTATGTCAAACTGGAATAATCAGAACAGGATGATTGTGTTGAAGCAAAACCCATGGGTTGCAGGAAGCCGTGTCTCAGGAACACTCACAAAGCACCCATAGTTGGATAGTTCTGTCCTAATTATGCAGAAGTCTTCTTTGAGGATGTGATATTTGAGCAGAGACTTAACTGAGGAAGCAAACCATGAGATTAAAGGAATATCTAATGAAAGAAAGAAAAAAAAAAAAGAAACAAAGTAGGTCTTAAAAGGATTAGTTAATACCAAAAAAAACCATAATACTAGATTATCTTATACTTCAAAATGATAATTAACTAGCAATTTTCTAACTTGTAATATCTCAAACAAGTGCCAAAAAAATGAACTTGTAACACTAGGAAAGAGGAGACCAAAGTCAGCTTATTGTATAAATGTGAAGGGAATCTCATTTAAAAAATATACAGTGAATTTGTAAAGGAAGATATAATTAGAGTACCATCACTGCTCTGCAATTCACCTTATACTGCTAGGAACAAAGCATGCCGCCTGAAAAAGGTAAAACAACCCTACCTCAGTAATAATCTAAAGAAAACTTTGGAAAAAATTAGTACTTAATATTAATTTCAAGTGCAACAGTATTTCTGGAAAATTCATTCCATTGAAAGGGATATGGTATATTGTTTCCAGGAAAAGAATATAAAAAGCCCACACCCAAGTTGCTCCCAGATTCTTGACCCACAGAAACTGTGAGAAATAATAAAAATTATGTGGCTTTAAGCCATTTAATTTTGGGATGATTTCTCAAATAGCATTCGATGATACACAGTGTAGAAGTAGCAATAAGGAAGCTATCTCACACAGGTATATGAAACAGAAAAATCCTCTGATTGAGGTGTATGGGAAGTGTGCTTCCTTAGGAAAAGGTTAGGTTTTTTGTTTTTATTAGAAAAAATAAGGAAAATTTCAAAAAAAGTGGTTATAGGATATACGCAATTTTGGTAATGACAGACTAAATTATGAAATGTGAAATTTTAAAATTTGAGGAAAGGTGGAAGATAAGTCACAACAAATGACATAGATACATTTGAGTAGAGGTACCCCTCTGGATGCTGACTCATATGGACTTTGTCAATTGGTTCCTATACCATCTAGCTGTTGACTATGTTTGACCAGTGGTGAGTCTAGGCAGAAGATGAGAGACATAAAAGACTGAGGTCAGAATATTCGTAGTCTTGGTTGCCTCTCTGAGAGGTAGCCACCCACTGACCGAAGGTCACCTCGAAAGCCAGCCAATCCTTAAGTCATTCTCCTTTAAAGTTTCAGTCACTTCTTCCTCCCCTTATCCTTTTGAACATAGGCTGGTTTCTACACTATTTCCTCTCTTCTTCACCCGTGTCTTTGTAAATAATCCATTTGTAAATAAAATTCAAGTTATTCTAATTGATGTGTACCATCTGCTTAACTCCCTGATTCACCATTTCTCTTAGAGTAAAAGACATAATGTGCTACACAGCTCTATACAACCCTCCACCCAAAGCTATGACCTCTCTGATCTCCTTCCTCTTCTACTGTTCCCTCACCTCCACTCTGGCTTCTTGCGATTCCTCAAACACACCAGTTTGCCTCCTTGTATGGAATGATTTCCCCCCCCTCCCCCGCTATCCATTTTGTAACTTGCTTACCTTTTTCAAGTCTTTGCTGAAATCTCACCATTTAATGAGGCTACCTCTGTCTCCCTATTTAATTTACTTTCTTAAGTTATTTATTGTTTATTGTCTGTCTATCCCCTCCCAACCCACACCATTGTCCTGGTCTCCATTAGAATATAATGTAAACTCCCTGTACACAGGGATTTTTGTTTCTTTTGTTCACTGGTGCTATCTCAAATTCAATATATATTTTTGAACGAATGAATCAACTTCTACTATTGTAGAAAAAAGTAAGACACATGCTAAAATAGGTGATAATGAATATAGATGTTTAAAAAACAAGTAACTTAACCTCAAAAATTACTTGTCATAGCAAACTAGCAAAACTTATATCTAATATTCTCATGGCAATTTCACAATTAATTTTTTAACTCTGCCTCCCCAAGCTTTTCTTCATTAGCATTACTATGTATGTTTCTAGACTATCCATTAGCACTGCTTCATAGAAGCTTTGATCAATGTGTGCTTTTATTATTTTAACTGGCTACCCTACTTACCAGTTTTGTGTCATCTTGGGAAAGTTACTATCTTTATAATTCAGTTTCCCTATCTGCAGAGAGGAAAACTACTGCAACAGTTTTGATATTAAATAAAAATGTAGGTAAGGGCTTAAAACAATGCTAAATAAGTGTTTGAATAATGTTATAATGACTGTGATTCTAAAAATTTAATATTTACTACTTCTTCTGCACTATCCAGTTATTTTTCCACAAGTTTTACATTTACCTAGTACTTAGGAGGATAAAAGAAACTGTTCGTTTAATGAATAGAGAAGGACTAACCTAATACAATCTGTTCTGTTTCCACTCTTTAGAATGCCATCCCTGAAGTCAACAAAAATAATCAATCTTGGCTATCATTTTATTTGACCAGACCATAAATTTCATAGTATTGAAATTCTTTTAAATTTCAATACTATGTTAAAACTTGCTTCTCTTTATATGTATAATTATGGACTAAAGTTTTACATATGTCTCCCTGATTGACCCCTCCTTCCAGCCATTTTTGGTTTTGATAGCAGGTTCTTCTTTTCAAAGGCTCTTTCTTCTACCTACTCTTCAAACATTAGTGTACTCAATATTACATTATGGCAAGTTTTCTGTTTCCAGTCTTTAAATTCTTTTCTTAAGCAATTAACATATACTCCTTTAAATTTAGTCCCTACACATCTCCAGTATCAACTTCTTTCTGAATTTCTAAATACGAATTTTAAACTATTTGCTTAACATTTCTAAAATTAAATATATGCAAAACCAAACTAATTTCTTGAGCCCACAAA